ATTTGTTAGGGGACAACCTGGCCGGACACACGGTCTTGGTATGTGCCCTGAAGCAAATGGAGCAGATGTGCAATAAGCTACAAGCGCTGAAACTGCAGGAGCCTGCGTTGAAATTATTGCACACCTGCGCCTTGCCTAAAAAGGAGATGGGCCTACCCAGCTTGTCACGTAGACCACCCGTTGGTTTGTTGTGAGGGGTGAAAGAGGTATGAGGGGTGGGAGTGGAAGTGGTGGGATCTGCTTCAGAGGGACATAAGTCCGCCATGTGGGATGTGGAATTACATATGGAACAAGACGGGGGCCTGAGACCAGCGAAGTGGCGACAGAATAGTTCTGTATCCATCTGACACCAGTTAATTCTAACGTTGAACTGTTTCAGATGGGTCGCCACCTTCGCTGATACTGACTTATGATAGTCGTAGAAAGAAGAGCCCCCGTACTTGATGCCTAGATCTACCACCTTGTGAAGGTAGAGGTCTAACTCCTCTCTTCTGTGGGGATACACCGTGCAGATGACATCACGGTATATCCCAAAGACAATCACGAACTGAGGTATGGTTAGTTTTTTGTTGAGTCTGGGGTCTCTAGTCTTAAGCACCACTGAGATGTCCCTGTAATTGTATGCCCTGTTCTCCAGTATGTCTTGGGATTCTATAAGCAGAGACACCAGACACACGTCCTTCCCATCTAGGATTTCTTTCTTGATAGAGTCTGGGACGGAGTGAGCTGGTGACTCAAAAGGAGCTATAGCTGTGACTGGTGTTGGCGAGGGGAGTATGGGGGGGCATGCTGGTACAGCGGGGACAGCCGGGGTGGAGACTGGGAGGCCCGGGGTATTACCTGGGGAGGCGATGGCGCTCTCCACCTTAGATAGCCTGCTATTAAGGGTCTGTAGGTTGGCCAAGATTGCTGCCAGGGTATCCTGGGTGGCCGTGACAGTGCTTGGTGGCTGTCCTTGAGAGCTAGTGCTTGGCCTAGGCTCAGGGGCTTGGTATGTAAGCAGCCTGTAAAGTTCTGCCTTTCTAGCTGTGGCTGGAAAGGGGATTCCACTGAGCCTAAGCTCGGCCGTAATTTTAGGAATAGTCCATGCTCTCAAGGACGTGGGAGTTGAAGGGGTGAGAGATTCGCCTGGAGACTCTGGTCTGGTTGGCGTAAACGGTATCTCTTCTGGCAGTTCTTCGATGGGGATTGGTTCTTGGGACATTCTAAAAGAAATGATTTTGTGAATGAGATATTAGAAGGGGAGTTAGGAAACGTGGGGGGGATATGAGGGATGGTATTTATTGGAAGAACTGGACTGTAATGCTAGTGCCGAAGCGAAAAACTTATCTGTGGGATTTTTGGTAGGTGAGGCCCTACTAATGCCAAGTGGTGGGGAGAGGCTCTACTTATGATTTGGCTTAGGAAATTGAGGCCACAGACATGGTGGCAGGGTGTTGGCCTCTCGGTGACTGTAAAGAGAATTCAAAACGTGTGGCCGTGACAGGTGAGGCGTGATTTGGGCGTGGGGCCGTACCTCCGTGTTGAGGTGGGAGATGGCCTCGCGGGACTGGATTTCCTAATAGGGTGAGCTAAGGAGGTAGCCTAGACCCAGTAGCCAGTTCAATTGTATACTTAAGGTTGACTGAGAAATTCTGGTGTAATGTGTGGATACTAACCTTGAAAGGTTGTAAATGATAACTCGAACCTTCTAGTATTTTTAATGTGGTGAGTCTTGTCTGCTGCTGTTCTTAAAGAAGAAGCCTGAGGATTAAGACAGATGTTGATGTATTTATGCGTATTGTGGTGACGTATGGTTTGTAGTGAAGGTTGGCTGTTAGGAGCGCAACGTGAGATCCTGAATTGAGGGATCTGAAAGGTTTAGTATAGGATTGGGACGAGTATGCATTAAAGAGAAAGGCTGATTGAGGCCTTGGGGTAGTGATTGCCGTATGTGAGTAAGGACGTAAGTACCTGATGGTATGCCTGAGTACCGGATCAGGTAGGTTGGATGTTTTCCTTGGCCTGATGGCAGTATGACCGTAGGCATGGGTAGAGAAATTGTAAAGAATTAACATACCGTGGGCGTAAGACCGTGAGTCAATCGTAATGAGACAGAGACCGCGTAAGGTCTTGTATAGAAAGGTCTTGAAAGAGTGGGGAATTATACCTAGAATTATACCTAAACTTGTGATGAGCATAACTGGTTTAATGCGTAGAAACCGGTGGAGGCCTAGAATATTACTGGAGCTAAGGATTAACCAATAAATAATTAAATAGTTAACGACAGATGTGACAGTATGTAATAAATACCAACATGTCTTGCTGTGACAAGTCTAGATAGCTTAATTGTATTTGAGGCCTAGACCTGGATGAAACCAAAGTGAGGAAAATATACCTGTTCCTGTAATAAAAAGAACTTGAAATAGCAACTTTTGAGCAGGAATGCAAGAAACCGATGCAATCTGTAAGGCCAACGACATGTGACAGAGGCAAGAATAAATGACTGCGTGATTCTAAGGAGAAGATGTAGTACAGATGTGGTTTTAACGCAATTACCCTAGAAGATCGTGTTTAATAATTAATATCTGTATGTAGGGTTTGAATAGGGTTGGTGTATAGTTAGAAAAACCTGTTCTTTATATTGGTAACATGAGAAGTCTATAAGAATTAATAAAATGAATATTAAAACAAAGACAGAAGGTGCCTGTAGCAAGTGTGTTAAAAAATGATAAGCTTAGAGTCATGTCTACAAATGCTCGCAGTTTAGGGAATAAGATCCATGAACTTGTGGCAATAATGGCAACTGATAGTGTAGATTTAGTCGCTGTTACTGAGACATGGTACAATGAGAAAAATGACTGGGACATAGCAATACCAGGTTACTCTTTATATAGGAAAGATAGGGAAGGCAAGAAAGGGGGAGGGGTGGCCTTGTATGTGAAGGATAGCATAAAATCTAGCCTACTAAAAGTTAGTGAGGCAAACATAGAGTCCGTTTGGGCTACGTTAGAATTTGGTAATCACACAGTAACTCGTGTAGGTGTGATTTATAGGCCCCCAGGACAAATTGAAGAGTTAGATAATCTACTAGTTGAGGAAATAGCTAAAATGACAATGAATGGGGAAGTTATCATCATGGGTGACTTTAATCTTCCTGATGTAAATTGGAAAACAAAATTAGCTACTTGTGCGAGGAGCACACATATTCTAAACTCCCTACTGGGATTGTCTCTAAAACAAGTTGTTGAGGAGCCAACTTGTAAAGAGGCCATACTAGACTTAGTGTTAAACAAATGGAGATTTGGTATCAGATGTGTTACTGTAGGTGAAAGTTTAGGGATCCAGTGGATCATCAGTCAGTGTGGTTAACATAAGAACAGTGACTGAGTCACACCACACAAAACAAAGTTTTAGACTTTAGAAAACAGACTTTTCTAAAATTAGAATATGGGTAGAGGAGTCATTATCAGACTGGAGCAATTTAAATGGAGTCCAAGAAAAGCGGATTATTTAAAAGTTAAACGTCTATTGAAGTGCAACAGAAAATTGCATTAGGCTTGTCAGTAAGTAAAAGCAAAAAATTCAAGAAACCACTGTGGTACTCCACAGATGTGGCCAAAATAGTTAAAAACAAAAAGTTAGCATTTAGGAATTATAAAAAAACCCAGAGTGAGGAAGACAAAATGACCTATAAGATTAGGCAGAAAGAGGCTAAGCAAGTTATAAGAGCTTCCAAATCACACACAGAAGAGAAAATAGCAGTCAGTAAAAAAGGGGGATAAAACATTTTTTAGATACATAAATGAGAAAAGGAAAGTAAAACAAGGATTAGTTAGATTAAAAACAAAAGAAGGAAGGTATGTAGAAGAGGATAAAGGTGTAGCTGACTGCCTCAATGAATATTTTTGTTCTGTATTTACAGATGAAAATGAAGGAAAGGGACCTCAGTTGAGAAAAGGATAAATGAGTCATTTATTACACGTGAGTTTACAGAGGAAGAAGTTCTATTTCAACTGTCAAAAGTAAAGACAAATAAGTCAATGGGACCTGATGGAATACACCCAAAGCTATTAAAAGAGCTTAGTGGTGTACTAGCAAAACCATTAACAGATTTATTTAACCAATCATTGTTAACAGGAGTAGTCCGAGAAGATTGGAAGTTAGCGAATGTTGTGCTCATTTACAAGAAAGATAATAGGGAGGAGTCGGGCAACTATAGGCCAGTAAGCCTTACTTCAGTAGTGGGGAAAGTGATGGAAACCATGTTAAAGGATAGGATTGATGAACATCTAAAAACACATGGATTTTAGATCAGGGTGGTGCAGTAGACATTGCTTACCTAGATTTCAGTAAGGCTTTTGACACTGTTGCACATAGAAGGTTTATCAATAAACTGCAATCTTTAAGTTTGGATTCCAATATTGTTGAATGGGTAAGGCAGTGGCTGAGTGACAGGCAATAGAGGGTTGTAGTTAATGGAATATATTTGAACCTTGGACTTGTCACCAGTGGGGTACCTCAGGGATCTGTACTTGGACCCATTCTCTTTAATATTTTTATTAGTGATATTGCAGAAGGTCTTGATGGTAAGGTATGTCTTTTTGCTGATGATACTAAGATATGTAACAGGATTAATGTTCAGGAGGGATAAGCCAAATGACAAATGATTTAGGTAAACTAGAAAAATGGTCAGAATTGTGGCAACTGACATTTAATGTGGATAAGTGCAAGATAATGCATCTTGGACGTAAAAACCCAAGGGCAGAGTACAGAATATTTGATAAGAGTCTTAACCTCAACATATGAGGAAAGGGATTTAGGGGTGATTATTTATGATGACTTA